AATCTATCTCAGCAAGCTTATACATTTTCATGACTTCCTCTGTCCCCTCTGTCTTATTCTCAAATTTGCATTCCTGACATGTTTTTCTTCCTCTTGTCTAAAGTGTTTTCCTACATCTCTGTCTTTCTTAGTGATGCTACCATTCTTGATATTCAGACCTGGATCTGATGACCTCGAATTCTTTCCTTCAGTCATCGTCTCTATCCAATCTGATATATGTGCATGCTTTCCTGGAAATTGCTGGACTTCATTGTTCTCTATCCTGTCATTATTCTGGACTAAGGTCTCACTGTGTCATTCGTTCAACAGACATTTATTGGGCACCTAGGAGGTGGCAGACCCTCTAATGATCACCCGTACTGCATTCCTGAAGTTGTTTCCCAACTCATTTCTCTTCCTCCTTTCTTTTTTTCACCTCTAATCCATCTGGGCTAATCTTCCTAAAGCATTCTTTTCCTGGTAGGATGATACAAAATTTATTGTCCAAACTGGGATACTTTTGTGAGTTAAGGAGGCTATTAATGATGTTGCAATAGCAGGTATAAACCAGCACTATTCTGGGAAAACTAGGATACATGATCACTCTACTCCCAGGTGGCATCTCTTGGATTCTTTCTTTTTATTTCCCTCAATATACTCCTCATGGGATACCCCAGCTGCCTCTCTCCTCTGTTTTCCACTTCGTGAAGCTGAGAGAAACAGTTATGTGTTGAGGGGTGGAGGGAAGTATGGAGACTAGGGGAAATGAATGGTAATGCTTGAAAACTGTATTCTTGATAAGTGAGAATGAGAAGGAAGGTAACAAGAGACGAGAATAGCAAGGTAGAAAAAAGAGTATAGAGTGGGGAAAGAAAATTAAGGGTAGAGTTCACTCTTCTGTTTAGAACTTGTTTCTCATTGACCATCAAATTATATCCATATTTTTTGCCCCATAATTTCAGTTTTCCAGCTAGTATCACTTCAGGCAACTTGATTCTTTCATTCCTTCATTTGTTCGTTCAACAAAAAAATTTTTTGAGTGCTTGTTATGTACCTGGAACTTTGCTAGGAGTTAGGAATACAATGGTGAACAAAATGGACAAAACCTCTGCCCTCGTGAAGCTGCATGATGGGGTAATCTCCCACTTATTTCTGAGTCCACCGGCCCTGTGCAAACTTCCTTTTGAGAAAACAATTCCTGCTTATCCTCTGGGGCTCAGCCAAAGTTTTGCCGTTTTAAAGCACCTTGCCCCAAGCATTCCAAGCCCCAGTAATTGTTCGCTCCCCTAGCCCCCTTCATCTCCTGATTGCATACTTTGTAAATTTATAATTTGCTCTCATTGTTTTGCCATTTACTCCATTGTAAGCTCCTTAAAGGTAGGTATGATATTTCATGCTTGTATTAGTCTGCTCAGGCTAACAAAATATGATAGCCTGGGTGGCTTAAACAACAGACATTTTTCTCACAGTTCTGGAGACTGCAAGTCCAAAATCAAGGTGACCAGCTGATTTGGTTTCTGGTGGGGACTCTCTTCCTGGCTTGTAAATGGCTACCTTCTTAATGCAAGCTCTCTCCTATGTCTTCTTATGAGGACACATTAATCCTATCGGATCAAGGCGCCACCCTTATGACCTCATTTAACCTTAATTACCTCTTTTGAGGTCACATTTCCAAATACAGTCACATTGAGAGTTAGGGCTTCGATATATGAATTTGGGGGTGACACATTCAGTGTATAACAATGCTTTTTTTTTTGCATTCAATAATGATATTTATTGCTTTGTGACAGAGCTGTGTAAATACATGGCTATTAACATTTTCCCTGGACACCTCTTTGTGAAAGGCCGTGAGACTGTGATCTTTTCCATACCAGCCTTTAAGGATAGAATAGTTGCTGCACTAGCTAATTGGGGAGCTTCAGATCAGCCATGCCTAGAAACAAGACATCCAGTGACTGGCTTCAAGGCTTTGTCTTGTTCTGAATCTCTAAAATTCTTTGTTCCAGTAATTATGTGAATCTGTTCCTCTAAAATCATTTCCCAACTTTTCATAAGTAATACTGTAAAAAGAAGAATTAAAAATTTATACAAGTTAGCAGAAGACAATTTGCCAGCACAGTGAGAGGCTTTCATAACAGTAAATATATAAACTTATCCACCTGTGCATTCATTCATTTATTCATACCACAATAATAATTTTCTACTTTTTTGTAGCAATGCTTTTTAAAATTTTCCCTGTGTTACACCCAGAACAGAAATGTGTATAGGGAGAGTGCTCAGTAATTACTAGTTTAAGAATGTATGAAGAAAAAAGAAAGTGTCAGAGAAGATGAAAAATGGAAAAGAAACTCAGAAAGAACCATCAACTTTCTCAGAGAGAACTCTGGAGGTGGCTTCACTTGCTATCCCACTTTGCTCTGCAGTCCCTTGGGTTCTCACTGAGTTTCCTCCACCTGCTTCCTCTTATTTGATTAGGAGAGGTAGCAGGAGCGAGATGGGAATGTGCTCAGGATCCTGGCAAGAATCCACCCTCCCCCACCATTTTCTCTGCCTACCCTTCATATCTTGGGTGTGAGTCTGTGTATATGTGCCTGTGTTTGGCATCAGTGGCACCTGCACTTCTGAGATGTGAACTCCAACCTTCACAGTTCTCTTCTCTTCTTGCTGGTCTTGAGCACTCACCATTGGATGTGTCCTCCTTCAGAGAGTGTGACTCAATTTATCAAGAAGCTATGAGACAATGGAAACTGGTCAGACGTTTTTGAAAAGCAGTAGATAGTACTGCAAACAATTTCATTCCTTCTGACCCAATAAATCACTTGTGGTACTTTTATACTAGGAATATATTTCAATAGGAAGAGAATTTTATCTGTATAAAATGATCATGATAGCATTATTGATAGTGGTTAAACCTCAGGGCACAACAGAAATGTCTAACACTAGCACTAATTGTAGATAAGTTATAATGAATTCAGTTGGTGGTGTAGTCATAAAATGATCATATGAAGATTAAATAGCAATGTAGGGAAATACTTATAAAAATTAAGTGGGGCCAGCCCCGTGGCTTAGCAGTTAAGTGCGCGTGCTCCGCTACTGGCGGCCCGGGTTCAGATCCCGGGCACACACCAACGCACCGCTTCTCCGGCCATGCTGAGGCAGCGTCCCACATACAGCAACTAGAAGGATGTGCAACTATGACATAGAACTATCTACTGGGGCTTTGGGGGAAAAAAGGAGGAGGATTGGCAATAGATGTTAGCACAGAACCGGTCTTCCTCAGCAAAAAGAGGAGGATTAGCATGGATGTTAGCTCAGGGCTGATCTTCCTCACAAAAAAAAAAAAAAATTAAGTGGAAGAAGGGGCCAGCCCCATGGCCAAGTGGTTAAAGTTCTACACACTCCACTGCGGTGGCCCAGGTTCGCAGGTTCAGATCCTAGGCATGGACCTACTCCGCTCATCAGCCATGCTGTGGAGGTATCCCACATACAAAATAGAGGAAGATTGGCACAAATGTTAGCTCAGGGCAAATCTTCCTCACCAAAAAAAAAAATTAAGTCAAAGAAGTAGGATGCAAAATTTTATGTACTGTATATTTATAACTATATAACTATGAATATGGACAAGTCTGAAAAAGAACATAGTAAAAGGAAAATAAGTCACATGTTAGTATCATGAAGTCATCTCTCAGTTTTCTTTTATGACCCAACTCCCTCTAGATTCAAGGTCTCCTAGGGTTAACTATATGTCCTGAGTTTCTTGTCAAACCAGTTGGGAAATCTTGCTCATTCTTGACATTGTTTCATGTATCAGCCCTTCTTGGGGGCCTGTGCTGTCGTCTACTTTCACCCTTTTGCCGTCTTTAGATACTTTACCATTATGCCATGCAAGGTCCTATCAGAGTTTCCCCTGCCATGCTTTAACTAACCCTGTTCCCCAGTTCAGCCTCTCAGGTTCACCCAGTAGACTCGGTCTGTCAGAGTGACAGCTTGGTGAAAAGCAGACAGACTGAACTAGCATATACGACTGGATCCAGCTACAGACCAGCACCTACAGAGTAGGCTATGATGTGACTAGGCTCCAATATTGGAAGAATTGTGTTACCCCTATCAAGACAGAGTTTAAGAACAGGGATGTAGACAGGGGCCTAGTACCTGGACTGGAGCAAAAAACCGAAATCTCAGTCATATCCTAAGACTGAATCCCAGTTGCTATTCCATAAAACAATTCTTGAGCACCTATTTTGTACCAACCACTATATCACTGTTACTAGGGGACTAGGTCAGTGAACAGTAAAAGCCAAACTAATCTGAAGAGTAGTAATTTGAGCTACTGAACTAAGGATCTTTCAGTTCATTTTTTTCTAGGGACCAGATTAGGAGTTAGATGGCTCCACTTCTAGGAGTAGAGCATGAGACAGGAGAAAACCAGGGTGGATTTTATACTAGTCTTTGCTCATTTTGATGCTGGACCTATTGGGCTCCTGCCAGCCCTTGATTTTTCATAAGCCTTAAACTTGATCTCTATGTCTAACCTCATTTTTCTCATCTTTTTTGATCGGTTCCCCCTGCTTTGAACACTTTGAACACTTACTCTTCCCCGTGAGACCCTGTGGTCTACCACATATTGCTATCCTCAGATAATTCTCCTTCCTCTAATGTGTAGAACAGGTGACATGTACAATTTCTGTTTCTTCTGTCAGATGATGAAACTGGAACTGAGGAGGTATTGATTCCAAAGTATCATTCCTGCAAGATCAAAATCTCATACGTTTAAGAGAACTCCACAAAAATATTGCCAAGGAAGTCAAAATTTAGAAAGCTGCTCTGAAGGGAAAGAGACGACTCAAGAGGCCACTGGGATGCCCCAAGCAAGAGGAAATGAGGAGAAAGACGAGAAACTTCAAATATAAGACAGTTAAAGACAATAAAACACTCATAGAAGTGAGTGACCAAGAATCTGAAAAAGATGGTAGTCAGTGCTCTGACCCTCCAACAAACGAGAGAATTCAGGCTGAAAAGAGACAGTATGTATGTACTGAGTGTGGGAAAGCCTTTAGTCAGAGCGCAAACCTTACGGTACATGAGCGAATCCACACAGGGGAGAAACCCTATAAGTGTAAGGAGTGTGGAAAAGCCTTCAGTCATAGCTCCAACCTTGTTGTTCATCGGAGAATCCACACTGGACTGAAGCCCTACACATGCAGTGAATGTGGGAAATCTTTCAGTGGTAAGTCACACCTCATTCGGCACCAGGGAATTCACAGTGGGGAGAAAACTTATGAGTGTAAGGAGTGTGGGAAAGCCTTTAGTCGGAGTTCAGGTCTTATTTCACATCACAGAGTTCACACTGGGGAGAAGCCCTACACTTGTATCGAGTGTGGGAAAGCTTTTAGCCGTAGTTCAAACCTCACTCAACATCAGAGGATGCACAAAGGAAAAAAAGTTTACAGATGTAAGGAGTGTGGGAAAACATGTATTTCTAATACAAAGATTATGGACCATCAGAGAATTCACACAGGGGAGAAGCCTTATGAATGTGATGAGTGTGGAAAAGCTTTCATCTTAAGGAAGACCCTTAATGAACATCAGAGACTTCATCGTAGAGAGAAACCTTACAAATGTAACGAGTGTGGGAAAGCTTTTACTTCTAATCGAAACCTTATTGATCATCAGAGAGTTCACACTGGAGAGAAACCTTATAAATGTAATGAATGTGGAAAAACCTTCAGGCAGACTTCTCAAGTTATTTTACATTTGAGAACCCACACTAAGGAGAAGCCCTATAAATGTAGTGAGTGTGGGAAAGCCTATCGTTATAGCTCACAGCTTATTCAACACCAGAGAAAACATAATGAGGAGAAAGAAACCTCATAAATAATATGTATTGTTGGTAGTAGAACTAATTGCTCCTTTTTGGAAAAGCAATTTTTCAGTATCATCAACTTTAATTCTGTTTCTAAGAATCCGTACAGGGGAAGTAATCAGAAGCAGACAAAGATTAACAGAAGGGATATTCATGCCAGCATCATATATAACTGAAGGAAGAAAACTAGATTTTCAGCAGTGCAGGGTTTTAATGAATGATGGTCTATCCGTATGATGGTTTTGCAGCCATTGTAAACATTTTTAAAGCATATTTAATGCCATGAGGGAAATGATTTGGATAAAATGGAAGATAAATGAAAGAGAAAACAATGAAGTATGATCCAAATTTTTGAAAACATTTATGCATTGGAAAAAAATGGGAATGAAATGATACCAAACCAAAATATTAACAGTGATTATCCCTGGGTGATAGGATTATAGGTGATTTCTATTTTCTTCTTTATACTTTTCTATGCTTTTTAGATTTTCTACAATGAGAATATACTACTTTTATATTCAGGAAAAATTACAGTATTTTTAAAATGCAGTGAGTACATGCTTGTTTTCCCTCAACAGTGTTATGAAAAGCACATAGAACACAGGCTCGCAAATCCTAGGATTGCACCCTAATACTGGCACTTAGTAGCAGTGGAACCATGAGCAAGTCACTTCCTTTTAGAGCCTTGTTTCCTGTTTATTAAATCATAAATACCAGTCGTTGGTCTTTTGGAGTTTTAAGATAAGCTGACTTTACAGTCGTCCACACAATGTATAATCCATTTACTTAATCACTGTTAGTTTAAAAGAACACAGCAAAAATTTACTACATCCTTGTCTCCCAGAGTTGTAGAAGGATCTGCAGATAGTAGAGAACCACCTAGGCTCCATCTTTTCAATGTATGTCTACAAAAAAAGAAAAAAATCTCCCCTTATGAAATTGAAACAATTGTAGGTTTGTAACCTTTAAAAAGATACAGTCAGCATAACTTAAAACTAGGGGAAGACTCTGCCTTCACATGTTATGTAGAGTTTACTAACTAAGAGGTACAGACTTTGGGGTCAGAGACATGTGTGTTCTAATCCCAGATCTGCCATGCACTAGCTTGCCAATTTTGAAGTCACTTAACTGCTCTGAGCCTCAGACTTATCTGTAGAAAGAGAATAACTACCTACCTCACAGGGTTGTTGTAAGGATTAAGTGAGATAAGGCATGGATAAGCACACGGTAAATCATAATAGCTTAAGTATAGGACATTGGAGCAGTATTTCAAAACACTTAGTGAGAGTGATTCAGGGAAAGTTTTACCTAAGGTGGCATTTAGGGTATTTTCAGGTGTAATGAACACAATAGCAAGTACTAGTGGCTTAAACCTTAATAAGAACATTCATGTTTACTTAAGAGGAAGTCTAGAGGTAAGCAGTTTGAAATTCCTTTGGCAGCTTAGCACTTCATCAAACTTCCACCTTAACTCCATAATTTTCAGCATATTGGCTTTCATTTTTTGCAACTTCATGGCTGCAAGATGGTGGCCACAGCTGCAAGCTTCACACAACTCCTTCAGAGTTGGGAAGTGAGGAAAGGAGCTGAGGCTTTCTCATCTGGTTCCTTTCTCCTTTTATCATTGAGAAAAACCTTCCCATTGAGAGGAAGGGAGGAATGCTGAGCAGTCAATTCTACAAGTGCTCACTAGCTTCCTCTGCCTTTCTTTATGTCCAGCCGTCTGAGAAGGCCTTAACCCATTTTGAACCAATATTTCAAACTTTTAAGTCCTTAGCTTAAGGTCCATCTGGGAATACTTAGAATCTCCCCATTCTTAACTCAGCCATTCTTTCTTTTTATACAGTGAATCCCTAAGCTTAATGCCATTTGTCTTATGCACATAGTGCTTTATTGTTTCTGGAATTATTGAGGATATATTATCCCACTCAGTCCTCATAGTATTCGTACAAGAAAATTGACTCTCAGTGAGGTTAGGTGACTGGCTAGTAAGTGGTTGGCGCTAGGATTGAACTCAGATCTGACTTCCCAAGTCCTTGCTTTCTTTATTATACCAAAGTGCCTCTGCCCACCATGGTGATTCTGTATGTGAGTGGGAGACCAGTTAAGATTCTCCTGGGTAGCCACTTCTATGAAAGGTGGTTGTATCTGGATAATTATTTGATCATGGTTTCATAAGGAAGATGCTATCGGTCTTCTTTGAGTTAGATTTATAGCCTATCTCTGCACCTTGTAATTTAGTTTTAAAGATTATATAGTTCTGCCTTATATATTTCTGTTACTACTGGAAAGAAAGAAGTGGAAGGTGTGAAGGGTGTGTTTTTGTGTGAAAAGGGATTGTTTGGTTTTGTCCTATTTTGATAGGATAGTGGCTTACATATAATTTTCTGGTATAATAGTCCCTCTTTGCATAGTTATTCAAAGCAAGGTTTGGAGGCTCTGAACAGATTCAGGGGATAGGACTGTTGTATCATTGGGCACTCTTGGGGAGGCACTTCCCCAGGAGTCTAGGTGGACATGAGGGTAGGGTAACCCACATGTGGCAGTGACTAAACAGAACTGCAGCAGTAAGGGCACTTCCATCATTTTTCCCTTGTCATGTGTCCTTTTAAAATTTTAGAAAGGGTTTGTAATTAGTATTCCATGCCTTCTGTCATGCCAGCCATCCTCACCTGCTGATTACCTATGTGGAAACTACCCATGATTGTCTACTGGCCCTGCCAAAACTGCTGTACGAAAACAGGCAATTAGGGGCCGGCCCCGTGGCATAGTGGTTAAGTGCGCACGCCCCACTGCTGGCGGCCCAGGTTGGGATCCCGGGCGCGTACCGATGCACCGCTTGTCAGGCCATGCTGTGGTGGCGTCCCATATAAAAGTAGAGGAAGATGGGCATGGATGTTAGCCCAGGGCCAGTCTTCCTCAGCAAAAAGAGGAGGATTGGCATGGATGTTAGCTCAGAGCTGACCTTCCTCACAAAAAGGAAAAAAAAGAAAACAGGCAATTAGGCAACTAAACTTTTGGTGGTGAACACGATGCAGTCTATACAGAAGTTGAAATATAATGATGTACACCTGAAATTTATGTAATGTTATAAACCAATGTGACCTCAATAAAAAAAAAAAAGTAAACAGGCAGATAGCTTCGTGTGTGCCTGTCAGGGATTATTTTTTTGAGCATTTATTATTGCTGAGCAGAGTTATTGATGCTTCCTTTATTGCTGAGGAAGTATTCTCTGATCAAAACATTTCCCATCCCTCTGTTGTGGTGTCTGAAATCGTTTCTTCAAATAGACTTTCTTAGATGACTTTGTGCTCTTCAAGAGTAAATACCTTCTAGGAAGGATACCATGTCATCTCACACCCAGAGATCTGAATACAGATCTTTGCATTACTTGCCCCAGGCAAGTGAAGATACTAGATCCTTGAGGAGGTCCTCACCCATCTTCTAGGCTGATACCTGTCTTTTGCTGCAAGAGTAAATGTTGACAATTGGTCCCTGTACCCTTTCAGATAAATACTCTGCAGTGTAATTTGAACTGATCACCCACCTTCCTCTAGGAGTTTTTCAAGACCACCAGCTGTTTACTTCAGTCAGAGTTTAATTACGTAGTTCTTACCATCCTTTCAAGCCCTTTCATGATACACTCTGGAAGTCAGGGTCTGTCTCTTTGAATGTGTTGTTTTCAACTTCCTGTTCTAATGGAAACCTTGTTGTTTCCTAATAGTGTGCTTCCACTGCAGACCCTCAATTGCTAGTTTTTGTCTCCCTCAACCCTTTTACCTCTCTGTACTGCCATTTCTTCTCTATTCTCCATCAAAGACCCAGCTCATTTGAAATGTGTATCCGTAGACTGCTGTGTATTACCCATACCTGTTGTCATCTACTGGCTTTCTGTGCATTCACATTTATTCAGTTATATTTTTAGTACCCTGAATATTCCTGAGGAATATGAAGAGGCAATGTTTTTAGCCACAGACATCCTGGTTGTGTAGAATTGCTCTTGTGTGGAATGGAAATATATATATGTCTCTTTTTAATTGAGAGGAAAAGTGTGAAATAAATTCTCATTTTATATAGTCTTGATTAAAGGGAAATACGAAAGACAAAGAATCCTGCATAGAGAGGAAAGTGTCTCCCTAGACTTAGAGGTATTTTTCATTAATGGTGTGTACTGTGTTAGGTCTTATGTGGAACTGAGAAGAAAATTGAAACCAAAAAGAGCTATAAATAGCTGAGTAATTCTGTTGCATATAAATCCCATAAGACTAAATTTCATTTCAGCTCTGTGTCCTCAGTGACAGACTTCCTGTTTTGATTTTTTTCCATTCAATATAAATAAAATAGTATGCTTGGATTGTTTTTAGAAACTAGACGGTCTTTAATCACCTCTGATGTTATAAAACTAGAGTCATAAAACTGTTTTTGCAGGAAATAGTTATAATTCCTCCAATAAATATCTGTTGTTATTTACTTGTTATAAATATCACTGAGTTTTTTTTTCCTTTTGCTTCCTTGCTTTGTTGAGACTGGGAAGAAAATGGTTCAATATGCTTTACTTTAAGCACTGTTTTTGGAATGAAGAAGTGATTCTGACTTGTTTCTGATTCAAGCACATCATGAAGCTTGTTATTTTCATACTCATAGTACATAAATGAGAGCTCTCTAGCCATTAGAAAGTGTCCTTCTGTTATTTCTTTAGAGGACTTGTACAGTCAGTTATTGTCTCACTCCTTCTCTCTGGCCTTATCTGTGTTTCAAACCTGTACTATTATGTAGATCTCAGTTGGCTGTATAAAACCAGCCATGTTCCCTGAAGTTCATTTCTACTCCAGAAGGTAGGTTTGTGAGGGGTGAAAAAGGAGATGGCAGACTCCTTTCTGGGCAGCATAGATAAGGACCTGTCTAGTGCTCATTCCTCCCACTGACCATTTCAAATCCCCACGGCACAATTTGTGTGGACTGTAGACATGCAAAAGCTGTAACCAGTCTCTGAAACTAAGGCCAGTGGACTGCAAATCTGGGAATCTCAAGAGGTAATTTCATACATACAGATAATTTTCCCAGGCCCACCAAATCAGCATATCTGGAACAGGGCCTAGGAATCTATATAAAACAAAACTTTCACAGTGGCGATTGAAGAAAATTTTCTCTTAGGAGTCTTGGCTCTTTACATGACTACTTTTATAATGATTGTTCATTTTCACTCAGAAGAACCTATAAATCACAAAATTATTGAGATATATACCAAAGTTTGTATAATCATGACAAATTAGCAACCACTTTACTGAGTCTGAAAGAAAATGTCACATTTGCAGTGTTGGTTTAACCACAGAATTGAGCAGAGATTCATGTTTTTAAAAGGCAAGCTAGATAATCATAAAGCCCTTTCGCTACAAAACAACCTAGAAATGCTGGATAAAACTTTAACATCCTTTCAAAGGGCTTTCAAGAAAGTGAAATAAATCCTCTAAGCCTAAAATGAAGAAGTGGAAGCCAGAAAGGTAAGTGGGTGATGATGCCTTGGGTACCGTGAGGCAATTTGGCGACCTTGGTCACCAAGGGACTTAGATTTTATCAGCCACAGGGCAGAATTTGAGTCCTTGGGCTTGCAAAAGATGGAGAATTGGAACTGAGGTCTCCACAGTGAAAGTATGCATTTGAAAAAAGTCAGCTAAGAGCAGAGGAAGACATCAAGGAAGCTTGAGGGACTTGTTCTGGGATTTAAGGTCTCCTAATAATTTGCAGTCATGAGTCAATCCTTGTGGTAATTTAGGGTTCAAACTTTGTAAACACCAAACCAAGAAAATAATATAAAATTAGGTATGCACATTTCCAATTACAGATGGAACAGTTATTTAAAAATAAACAAATTTTTAAAAATTGAGTTATCTTAATTGTTTTGTGTGTTTTTTTGCTGAGTTGCTGAGGAAGATTTGCCATGAGCTAAGATCTGTGCCAATCTTCCTCTATTTTGTTTGTGGGTCGCCCCCACAGCATGGCCGCTGATGAGTGGTGTAGGTCTGCGCCGGGGAACTGAACCTGGGCCACCAAAGCAGAGCACGCTGAACTTAACCAGTAGGCCATGGGACCAGCCCCATCTAATTGTTTTAAGTTGAGCTTTTTGGGAAGTAAACTGAGAGAGAGGATAACATACAGCAAATTTATTGGAGAGTGTTATTGGGATTAACACCTGTAGAGAGAGGGAAGAAAACAGGATTAGCAGAGGGAGAAGTTAGCTGTGTTGCAGTCACAGAGTTACCTGTGTTGCCTTTGTTGGCTTCAGACTCAGACTGGGATGGCCTTTCAAAATTGTCCAAACTTGAAGTGAGAGGTCTGGGCCTTTATACCCCTTCATTGACCAATCATTGAATACAAGCTCCACCACACTACCCTGAAGTGGGAGGAAGCATGATCTTGGGTGAAGTAGACTCCTTCAACTGAAGATAGTGCCTGGAGAGGGTTGTGGAGAGGGTTGACAGTTGAGGGCTTTGAGCCTGCCTGTCTAGTGAGGTGGGGGAGAGGGAGACAATCCAGGGGAATCCAGACAGTGAAGAATAATGTCCTCTACACTGATCATAATGCAGTTAGGATACAATTCAAGTTAGCTAACACACACATTTGGAAATTGAACACACATTTCTAAATAATTCATGGGTTAAAGAAGAAAACAATAAAAATAAAGAGATACTTGAACATGAATAAAACTGAAAGAAGGACTCCCACTTCTGGCCATAATAGAGTTACAGGGACCAGAATCACACTCCTGCCTGAAACAAAAATCCCAGACAAAATATATGAAACAATGATTTTTAAGACATTGATATCAGCAACAAAAGACAATGATCCCTGAAAGATGGGAACTAAATAAGGTGAGCCCTATAAGTGCTCTAGTTTATTGCCTTGAGAGAGTTCACAGGCAGTGGTGTAGGGAAGGGGAACCAGATGGCGCCTGGTGAAACTCTTGAGTTGAAGAGAGAGAGCTGAGAATCCACAGAGACCAAGGCAGGTAGGGTTCACAAGATAGTACTCAGAGGGAGAGAACTACACAGAATTCTGAGGATCTGTGAATTGGTCCCCCTAGGATATCCAGCAGAGTACTGATTGACACATGTATATGAGGAAACTTATCTGAGGCCAGGGAAAGAACCATTCCAAAGGATTTGAGTAAACAGATCCAGGCAAAAAAACAAGGCCAGGAATAGTGTTTGTTCCCACAAGCCAGACAAAAATTACAATTCTTTTATGCATTGGGTAAAGTACTCAGAAGAGGCTTGCCTCAGTAGTGGAGAACAATAAGCCGTAGAGTAAATCCAAAGGAAACTACTCCAAGGTACATCATAATGAAATTGCTCAAAACCAGTCAAAAAGAGAAAATTATAAAAACAGCCAGAGGAAAAAAAGACACATTATGCACAGAGGAAGAAGATAAAGATTATATAGATTTCTCATTGGATTCAATGCAAGCATGAAGACAATGGAACGACATCTTTAAAGTACTGAAAGAAAAAACTGCCAACCTAGAATTCTAGACCAGTCAATATATCATTCAAAAACAAAGGCAAAACATATTTTCAGACATTAAAAACCTAAAAGAATTAATTACTAGCAGACCTGCACTACAAGAAATGTTAAAGTAAGTCCTTCAGTCAGAAGAAAAAAGATACCAGATGGAAATATGGATTTTTCCAACCTTGGTCTTATTGACATTTTGTACTGGATAATTCCTTGTTGTGTGGGGCTGTCTCATGCATTGTAGGACATTTAGCAGGATCCATGGCTTCTACCTACTAGATGCCAGTATCACTACCCCAGAGTTGTGACAAAAATGTCTTTAGGAGGCCAGAAATAAACCCAAGCAAATACAGTCAACTAATATTTGAAAAGGGAGCCAAGAATACTCAATGGAGAAAAGAGTCTCTTCAATAAATGGTGCTGAGATAATTGAATATTCACATGTAAAAGAATGACACTGGACCCATATCTTACACTACTCACAAATATTAACTCAAAATTGATTAAATGTAAGACCTGAAGTCATGAAACTCCTGGAAGAAAATATAGGAGCAAAGCTCCTTGACATGGGTCTTGGTAATGATTTTTTGGATTTGACACCGAAAGCACAGGCAACAAAATAAAAAATAAAGAAGTGGGACTACATCAAACCAAAAAGCTTCTGCACAGCAAAAGAAACCATCAACAAAGTGAAAAGACAACCTACAGAATGGGAGAAAATATTTGCGAACCATATAGCTGATAAGGAGTTAATATCCAAAATATATAAAGAACTCATACAACTCAGTAGCAAAAAAAACACAAATAACCCAATTAAAAAATGGGCAAAGGACCCAAATAGATATTTCTCCAAAGAAGATACATGAAAGGCCGACACCTACATAAAAAGATGCTCAACATCACTATTAGGGAAATGCAAATTAAAAGCACAATGAGAAAAACCTCACGCCTGTTAGAAAAACCTCATTTTAACAATGGCCATCATCAAAAAAGACAAGAGATAACAAATGCAGGCATGGATGTGGAGAAAAGGAAACTCTTGTGCACTGTAGGTAGTATTGTAAGTTGGTACAGCCACTATGGAAAACAGTATGGAGGATCCTTAAAAAATCAGCAATTCCACTTCTGGGAATACATCCAAAGGAAACAAAAACACTAACTCAAAAAGATATATATACCCGATGTTCACAGCTGCATTATTTACAGTAGCCAAGACATGGAAACAACCTTAGTGTCCATTGATGGATGAGTGGATAAAGTTGCAGTGTGTATATATATACATATATATGTATATATATGTATATATAGACACAATGGAGTATTACTCAGCCATAAAAAATGAGGAAATCCTACCATTTGCAACAACATAGATGGACCTTGAAGGCATTATGCTAAGTGAAATAAGTCAGAGTGAGAAAGACAAATACTGTATGATCTGACTTGTATGTGGAATCTAAAAAAAACGGGAAACTCATAGAAAAAGAGATCAGACTTGTGGTTACCAGAGGTGGAGAGTAGGGAGAAGAGGAATTGGAAGAAGACAGTCAAAAGGTACAAACTTCCAGTTATAAGATAAATATGTACTAGGGATGTAATGTACAACATGACTATAGCTAACACTGATGTATGATATATAGGAAAGTTGTTAAGAGAGTAAATCCTAAGAGTTCTCATCACAAGGAGAAAATTTTTTTCCTTTTTTCTTTTCTTCTTTCTTTTGTATCTATATGAGAAGATGGATGTTAGCTGAACCTATTGTGATAATCATTTCACAATATATGTAAATCAAACCATCATGCTGTACACCTTAAACTTATACAGTGATGTATGTCAATTATTTCTCATTAAAATTGGGGGGAAAATATCTCTAGATATTGCCCCCAGGGGAGAACCACTGATATGCAAGTTGAGAACCACTGCTATTTGAAAATGGCATATTATCACTTGAAGGTAGATGGATAAAGATACTATAATTCCCAAAGCAATCATTAAAAACAAAACAAAGAGTTATAATAAATCAAAAAAGGAAATAAAATTGCATAGAACTACACACAAATAAGTGCATGTAAAATTGGTGAAATCTGAATAAACTCTGTGGATTGTACCAATGTCAATTTCTTGGTTTTGATGACATACTATAATATGTAAGATGTGACCACTGGGGGAAACTGGTTGAAAGGTACACAGGAACTCACAGTAGTTTTTCTTTTTAACTTCCTGTTATTTCCCGAAAAAGTTTTAAAAAGAAAACAACAAAATAAGACTAAACTGCTTGCAATTTAAAACCATCCTATACATTTTATGCGTTATGTAATTATACATTTTAAAAAACCATTGAGGGGCCAGCCCTGTGGCGTAAGTGGTTAAGTGCGCACGCTCCACTGTGGCAGCCTGGGGTTCGCCAGTTCGGATCTTGGGCACGCACCAACGCACCGCTCGTCAGGCCATGCTGTGGCGGCGTCCCATATAAAGTGGAGGAAGATGGGCATGGATGTTAGCCCAGTGCCGGTCTTCCTCGGCAAAAAAGAGGAGGATTGCCAGATGTTAGCTCAGGGCCAATCTTCCTCACACACACACACAAAAAAACCATTTGACTGATAATGGGCAGTTTGCAGTATCTAAAGTGCTCGTAAAGATTATTCCAAATAAATCCAAAAGAAGTAAATGAAGTTAGTTTCTTCAAATGCTATCATTTGAGTGAATGAATTAATAAACTATGCTTTATACACAAACAAAACGGTCATTTCCTGATGAAAAGTCAATTCTTCAAGAGGACATAACAATTTTAAACATTTATAGACTTAAGAACAGTTTCAAAATACATAAAGCAAAAATTGATAGAACTGTAAGGAGAAATAGACAAATGCACATTTATAGTAGATTTCAATACATCTCTTTCAATAGGATAAGTGGAAAGAAAATAAACAAAGATAAGATTCAAGCAATACCACCAATCAACTTGACTTAATTGATACTTAAAAAACACTCCGCCCGGCAACAACAGAACATACCACAATGGAGTTATATTAGAATCAGTAACAAAGATCTCTGGAAATCCTCAAATATTTGAAAGAAAATAACACACTTTTAAACGAAATAAATACTTCAAAGATGAAATTTAAAAGCATATTAGAAAGTATTTTGAATTGACTCAGAAAATAAAAACATCAAAATTTATGGAATATTGTTAAAGCAATTTCAAAGAGGGAGATTATAGCACTAAATATTATTAGAAAAGAGGAAAGGTTAGGAAACTAGAATAAGAACAAATTAAAATCAAAGCAGAAGAAACCAAATAAGGTCAGAGTGGAAAACTATAAAACAGAAAACAGAGAAACAATAGAGAAAATTAATGAAACCAAAAGTGGTTCTTTTACAAAAATCAATAAAATTGATCAACCTCTAGCAAGACTGATCCAGATAAAAAGAAGAGAACACAAAAAGTACCAATATCAGGATTGAAAGAGATGACACCAATTAGATGAGATTCTATACCAATTAAAGGGATAATTATTGTGATGGTTAATTTTATATTGAACTTGGCTGGGCCAAGTGTTGCCCAGATAGCTGGTAAAACATTATTTCTGGGTGTATCTGTGGGGTTGTTTCCAAAAGAGATTAGCGTTTGAATCAGTAGGCTTTGGGAGTTAGAAAGGGCTCTAACAGTTTGGTTGACTGGCTGAAACATGGACCAAAAGATGGCCCATTGTGAATGAATTGGAAATGCCTGGGATCCCTTGGTTTAATGTAGAGGGAGGAATTCAAAGGCTTAGGGAGATTGGAATGTTACAGTGGATTTGTCATTTAAGACCTACTCGCTCACGCTGGGAGGGTCCAGAAGCCAAAAGTTTCACCCTTACTTTGAGAAATAAATTTGCAAGGGGAGCCCTAGCATTCATGAAGAGCTCCATGATCTCTCTTTTCTGGAGGCCGGACTTTACAATGGGAACTGCAGCCACTCAATTTGAAAACATAAATGAAATGGGAATAATTGTATCCCAGGGTGGCAAAGGCCAAGTGGTGATGCTCAACCACCAAAGGCAAGGTGGGTGTGGTCACTATAACGGATGGTAGAGTCAAAGCAGCAATCAGAATAGTCATTGGCTAGTTACCATGGTGCTCCTAAAAGAGATAGGAGACCTATTGTATTCTTACTTGATCTGTTTAGCAGAAAAGTTTTATGTCGAGTGAACAAAGTGTAACTTGAATCATAAAAACAGAGAGTCACAACTTCTCAATCAATTCCCAGAATTGAGCCAGTTTACAGACCCAGAACCCCTTGAATGATGGGGAGGCTGGGTCCCTTTGAGGAAGGACCCTTTCTACAGGATATTTATACTGTTAGCCTTTCTCCCAGCCTTCCCCAAAGAAACCTATGGCCTTTTACCAGGATAACTATACACTGGGGGAAAGGAAATAATCAGAACTCTCAGGGACTACTGGACACTGGCTATGAGTTAACACTAATTCCAGAAGACTCAAAATGACACTGTGGTCCACCAGTCAGAGTAGGGGCTTATGGACGACAGGAGTTTTAGCTCAGGTCTGTTTCACAGTGGGTCCAGTGGGTCCTTGAACCCATGCTGCAGTTACTTCCCCAGTTCTAGAATGCATGATTGGAACAGACAAACTTAGCAACTGGCAGAATCCCCACACTGGTTCCTTGACCTGTGGAGTGATGTCTATTATGGTGAGAAAGGCCAAGTGGAAGCCATTAGGACTGCCTCTAACTAGGAAAATAGTAAATCAAAAGCAATATTGCATTACTAGAGGAATTGCAGAAATTAGTGCCACCATCAAGGACTTGAAAGATGCAGAGGTGATGATTCCCACCACATTCCCATTAAACTCTCCTATTTGGCCTGTGCAGAAGACAAATGGGTCTTGGAGCATGAAAGGGGATTATCATAAGGTTAACCAGGTGGTGACTCCAATTGCAGCTACTGTATCAGATGTGGTACCACTCCCCAGGGTGATCAGCCAGCTACCTGGTAGCAGGTTGATTACATTGGACTGTGTAGGGGAGGAAGAGATTTCCTCTACCCATTCTAGGTCCTTCTGGCTGGGCTACAAATTAAATTGACATGAGACAGAATAACAGGAGAAAATCAAACAAAGCTTTGTAACATGTATACATGGGAGAGACCCAGGAAAAACTGGGTAACTTACCAAAATGGCAGAGGCTGTCATCTTAAATACTATCTTCAGCTAAAGACAAAGGAGGATGTTGGGGGTAGTGGTTTGGGACTTCAAAGGGGAGGAAGGCAATTCACATGGAAATGAAAAAGCAAATGTTTGGTAAACAGAACTTTGATAAGGATGGGCTTAGTAAGGAACCTCATAGTCTACCTATGCTCAGTTATCTATGGTGATGGCCCATCCTAGGGATAGGCTTTTATCTTAAATTCTTTTAGGAAGTTAGAAGGAAGGTCAAAGTTTCTTTCAGAGTCTTTTGTTCTTAAAAATAATTAAGGCAAAGAGACATATTTTGAGGTGGCCAATTCTGATCCCCCACAGTCCAACCTTTGAAACTTGAAGAAGTTTCACAGTCCTTTGAAACTTTAAAATGTTTCATAGTCCAGAAGCTGAGTTGGTAGATTGTTCCATCTCATTGAACACATTTCTTAGTCCTGATAATAGATCAGTCCAGTTAAATTCATTTTGGAAGGTGGTGATGCAGGTGGGCTCCCAAAGTTAGGCCTATATTGTGGAAGCAAGCAATCAGGTGTTTAATAAGAAGCATTTCTATGGAAACAAAAAGAAAAACAAGGTTAATGGTTAGAGGAAATTATAAACCAGTTTCTGAGTTTAGAGGACAGCAGGTTAAGAAAATTTCTAGATATCAGTGTTGAAGCATCTTTTCCAGCTTAAAATTTCTCTGAAGATGTCATCTAGTGTTCAGGTATCCTTTTGAGTGGCTTATACAGCAACAGGCATGCTATCATCATGATCTCTCTTAAGTTTATATCAAGCTGTTCAGCTTCAGCTTGCAGGGCTTCAGGAAAAAGGGTGGTTTCAGTCTCAATGATTTCAAATAAAAATGATGGAAAAAATTGAAAATGTTAGTTTGGAGATTTGTATCCAGATATTTCAGGAGACTAGAAGAATTCAGGATCCAGTCCAGTTTATAGGTAGAAAACAAAAACCTCAAAGACAATTAACAAAACTAGAATGTAATATCCACAAATGTGTATTATAATTTCTACTGAAACATAATTTTTCTCTCTAAAATCACCCTCATTTTTACCAAGATAGCCAAATTAAGACTAACTGGTTTGTAAAGTAAGTCTAGTTACAATAAATTTGGCCCAATTATTTACATAAGTATAGCAAGAATAGCAACTGATCATATAGGCTCTTTTAAATCTGCTTTGCTGGAACTTTTTATAAGGAATCTCAGATTGAACTTTAAAGGCCTCTCGAGGCCAGGAAAGACAAGCCAAGGACTTTGTCATCAGACTTGCCTGTAATACCCACAGATTTGGGTGAATTCCTCTCTTCTTTTGAGGTTCTCCAAAATATTGAGGGTTCCAGGCACCTGCCAGATAAGTGACCTTCCTTACTTACCCAGTAAGGTTGCTGGGAACACTGTAAACAAGGGACCAGGCCAATATTTCCAAGTGGCATTATTCCATAAAATCCAATCTTTGTTTCTCAAAAGCTGTGTGGTCATATCTGAGTCTATGCATGTTTCTCTCAAATACGACAATCTAGTCAAAGCTTTGGTAAAATAACCAATGTTTCTAATTGTGTCCTCTTTTAAGGAGAACAGATTCTCACTGAACTTATGCAAATAACTATATTGCTATGAAATAAGAATATTCACTTACGAAGAGTTTCCAAATTCTGGAGGGATCAGGTAGAGAGAACAAGATAAATGTGTCAATTCTGTTTACAAAAGTATAATTTACCAAATTGCTATAAGTCATAGTTAGCTTAAGAGAAAAGAGAAAAAGTTTTCCTTAAATCTGAAAAAAAATTTTTTTAATCAATAATATTTCAAACAAAAGTCATAAAAATTATAATCATCCTCATCAGTTCATTCAGTCCTGTGTAATTGATTTTTGATCTTAATCTTCTCTTAGCAGTTTTATGGGCCCATCAGTTTCTCTGTTAGAGTTCTGTAATTTCTTACCCAGTTCAGTTTTATAATCTGAAAGTTTGTCAGAAACCTGCATTCCAGAGTAAATGTCAGAGTCCTTTCCATGAGTCTCTCTGAAGATGAAAACATTTGCAAAAGCATCAGAGTAAAACAGTAACTGTCTGTAAACACCAAAAGACTTAAAAATGACAATTGACAAAGAAACTTGGTTATTTCTGTGACATATCAGAACTTTAAGATAATAATTAGAATTATGGCTGATAACCAGGACAGATCAGAATTCTAGGAATGTTATATAATTTTTAGAACACTTACATCAATAACATTTACCCACACAATTTCGTAGGTCCCTATGAAACAATGCTTAGTTATCCATTTAACCATGGTAACAATTAAAGATTTTCAGGTGAATGCAGAGAGTTAAATAGCTGTAAGAAAACCTTAGCACTTGTGATTAAAGACCTGATAAAAACAATACAGGAAATTTATTTTGATAAAACACAAAATCTCTACCCTTTTGGTAGACTACTCAAAGAAAAAAGCTTTCACAATCTCTTTGCCAAGAACAGACTAAAAGTTCAAGAAAATTGTCCTTCTAAGAAGGAGGGAAAAAAACAAATTCTAATTTTGCATTAGCTTACTTTTGATATTAAAACTTATTCACTTAATTAAATTTATTTCAATCTTAGCCAACTTGACCATGCAAAACTCCTTTTTAGAATTCCTCTTTTACAAACCTTCTATAACTTCCTTTTTTTACATTCAGAATTAATCCCATGTCTTTCTTTTTCCTTTCTACTACTTTAGGACACATTTATCTTTCTTAACCAAACAGAAATATTTCCATTCTTTATACCTTCTTTACTGAAAACTTATCTCATGTTCCTTGAATACAAACATATTTTCCTTAATTTTTAGTAGTTTTAATCACATATTAGAATTTTTAACTCTTAGAAACTCCAACTTATAAGTAAAAACTAAGTAAGCAATCATAAACTTTCTTTTACATTAGCATTCTGTGGCTTGACAAATTTATAAACACTTTTTATAATTTTAGAAACATGTCACTTTATGGTACAATCTTTTATTAAAATATGTGTTTACCAATAGACCCAAAACACCTTTTAGTTTTTCTGTAATAAGAAGCCAAAAGTAGATAAACTTATACTTAGTAATTAATGTCTAATATCTTATCTTACTAGAGATGATCTGGATATTTAATGAATTTTTATCATTTAAATTAACCTAGCAAAACCTCAAAGTTTCAAGTTACCAAAGAGATTTTGGAAGTTATTTTTTTTTTTTTTAAGATTTTATTTATTTATTTTTTATTTTTTCCCCCCAGAGCCCCGGTAGATAGTTGTATGTCATAGCTGCACATCCTTCTAGTTGCTGTATGTGGGACTTGGCCTCAGGATGGACGGAGAAGTGGTTCCTCGCTGCGCGCCGGGATCCGAACCCCGGGCCACCGGCATCGGAGCGTGCGCACTTAACCACCAAGCCACAGGGCCGGCCCTGGAAGTTATTTTAAGTACACATGTCACAAACTATAATTATTGCTAAAAGTTTATCTATAAACTCTAAAGCACTTGTTCCTGACAATTATGTTTAGATTACCCAAGAAAACTTCATGAGACATTAGACAAAATCAGCTATTATTTTAAGTCATTATTTTTGTTAACAAGTTTTGTAATAAAGATATCATCAGCTTATTTGACCAATAAATGTAGAATAAAGGCTGCATGTCTGCATCATATCCAATGCTGATAACTCTGAGGACATGCCTATTTTAATCAAACCAACAAACTTAAACAAGCTTTCATTTACCAAAGATTATTTCACATCATGTTAACTTGAAAGACATGTAAGTGCTTACTTTAAGTCAATTAAACAGAGCTCTTAATTTTGGCCATACCATCTGGAGGTAAAATATCACACATATATAACATACATATAGACACACATAAACACACAGGTAGACACAAAGACATTAAGTTTTTGTTATGAATCAGGTGCAATACAAAACTCACTAGTTTCTGAGAAACATTTGCTTTTCAAAGAATGGCTCTCAGGTCCTACAGAAAATGGAAGCAGAAAATCTACATCATAAAGGTGCAGAGAAAGTAGTCAAATCTTCTTCAAGATGGAGGCTCTGGGGCATATTTTCCTTATTAGTTTCTAATGTCTCAATCTTTCGTTTCAATCAATATCTAGGAGCATTTTGAGGAACAGGGGAGGCTTTGGGATTGGCAAAAAACAGGTGAACTTTGAACTGCTTTCTAGAGCCATACCTCCAGCCTTACAGAGATCTGTAACACAAAGACGGTTGCTTCCAGTTCCACTAAGAACTGGATTACATTTTGAATGACAAAAAGGGGTTGACCCACCCTTCCAGCTACATTTTTTTCCAATTGCTTTTTTATATCAGGGAAAATTTTAAGAGCTGAATCAAAAGATTTGTATGTTCTAAAACATTCAGGACAATGTATCATACCCTTAAAAGCCTGCACAAAGTATTTAACAAAGGCCCTCTTTTCCTAAGTGTACAATTTAACCCTAGACCAATTTACAGGGGGCGGGGGAGCTTTTATTATCTTTTTATTAGCACCTGATATTAGCCTATAGTCTTTATCTCATACAGTGTGGGCTCAGGCAACCCTATTTACTTCCCTTTTGTAAGTTTAATTACCATTGTCTTAAAGGCAGATTTATATGCTGTCTTTAACCACCTGATCTGGCAAACAGCTCATCATCTGTGTGCTATCAGATGGCACTTTTGTGTGTGTGTGTGAGGAAGATTGGCCCTGAGCTAACGTCTGTTGCCAATCTTCCTCTTTTTGTGAGGAAGATTGTTGATGAGCTAACATCTGTTCCAATGTTCCTCTTTTTGGCGAGGAAGATTGTCACTGAGCTAACATCGGTGCCAAGCTTCCTCTTTTTGGTGAGGAAGATTGTCACTGAGCTAACATCTGTGCCAATCTTCCTCTATTTCGTATGTGGGATGCCGCCACAGCATGGCTTGATAAGTGGTGCATAGGTCTGCACCTGGGATTTGAACCTGCGAACCCAGGGCCACCAAAGCCAGAGCATGTGAACTTAACTGCTACACTACCAGGCCAGCCCCTATATGGTGTCTTACAATCAGGCAAGGGAAACGTTCCCCTGTGAGACACAATGTCTATCCCCAAAATACAATCTCTAATGCAATCAGGCAAAAAAAGAAATAAAATCACTCTACATAAAGCCTGTATATATATCAGTTTTTCTACAAAATTTCATCTGATTCCATCAACTCTTATACCTCTAATTATAGTTTTCATTAGGACTTTATCAATAAGTCTTGGTCTTATAATTTTGGACAGGGGAAGCATTCCCAGACAGACATTTTAAAGCATACTCAGGCAAAGTTGATTTAAGCTCTTTATATAAAATTAGCTCAAATATTCCAACACTTATAATCTTTATCAACACTTACACTTTTACATTTTCTCAATTTGATGGTAACCCGAGTTAGGGTCTTAAGGCTAGTTATTATTATTATTTTTTGTAATTCCTTTTTTTGATTTGGCCTTTATATAGGTTCCAATAAAACAATTATGATGAGAGCTCTCACAAATTTTTTTTCCCCAATTTAGAAGTTTTTCCAATTTAAATGATCCATCATCTGGCCACATTGATGAGTAGGATCTTAACAGTGACTCATACCAATAAGCTTAACCATGAACACAAGAGGCATCACCAAAAGAGATCCAGAAAGTTCACTCTCAAAAATAGCCTAAGAAAGCAAAGGCCATCATTGCACAACAAGCAATGAACATTGAGATGACAAAGGCCCCTTATAAAAACAATTGGGACCCCTTATAACAAAGTCCCCTGAGAGCTGGCACAGCTGGACAAAGAGTGTGTCCCAGAACCCCAGTCTACTTGACTGGCTACCAAGAGGCATGCTGCTACATGCATCTTCTGGATGGCAGAGACCAGAAAAGTCACAAAGCCAAGCTCTCAAGACATAGAACAAGACAAAAGAAAAAAACCTCATCTGATATGCACATTAACAGCTTTAGCTAAGCCTTGGGTCTCTTTGAGCCAGAATAATACCTAGGAGGGAGGTGCTGTGGGGTTGGGGATTGTGTGTGCTTTCCAGAGTATCTTGTTGTTGCACAGACATTTTCTTGAAGTTGGCAGTGGACCTGCGTCATCTACCCTGTTCCATGACCCAACTCATCCTTTCATGGGAGACTTCTTGAGGTGGCAAGCACCCTAGTGGCTCTTAACAGCTTGACCCGCACCCACCAAATTTGTGGCCTTTTTGGCTTCCAAGATGCCCTTAGCAACAGCTTTCACCTCATGCGCATATTCCCAGACAACAGGTTTATAGAGATGCCTGTGTCTTATGACAAATGACAAAAAAAGACAGAGACAAGGAAAAATATTATCTCTGGGAGGAAAAGGATCTACAACCAATGAGTACTCAACCAAATCCTAGAGTCACTGAGCCCAAGAAGCTAGCTTCACCAATATTTTCACCTGCTAATCTCAATTTAGAAAAGGAAAATACTCACCACTCTCACTTCCATTGGACCCTGCAGGCAGAGATCTGGGAGACTGACATGGTAAGAACTCTTACCTCCTGCCAGCTCTTGTCAGGGGTTCAGGATCTCTCAGCTGCAATAGTCCAGGAGCAAAGAGCATCCAGCCAGTGACTTTTTTTTTTATCCTGTCCTTGTTGCCAAACTGAAGGGGAGGAAGACTATCCTCTTACCCACTCTGAGTCCTTTCTGGCTGGGCTACAAATTAAATTGACATGAGACAGAATAACAGGAGAAAATCAAACAAAGCTTTATAACATGTATACACGGGAGAGACCCAGGAAAAACTGGGTAACTCGCCAAAATGTCAGAGGCTTTCATCTTAAATACTATCTTCAGCTAAAGACAAAGGAGGTTGTTGGGGGTAGTGGTTTGGGATTTCAAAGGGGAGGAAGGCAATTCACATGGAAATGGAAACGCAAATGTTTGGTAAACAGAACTTTGGTAAAGATGGGCTTAACAAGGACCCTCACAGTCT